GATTATGATGATAATGATGAAAATGACAAAACAGATGATTTGATCCAATTAGTGATAAAGTTGACAATGATGATGATAAATTCATTAAAAAGTTGTTTAAATTTTTATAATTAAAATTTTTACTTAAACGAAACATTTTTGTAACTTTTAAAATTATTAAGAAAAAAATTTTTTTTTGAATTGTATTTTTTTTTATTTTATATATTAATATATACAAAAATATATAATACGATATACAAGTTTCCATATTAAAACTTTAATTTTAATTTTCTAATGTATTTATTATTTACTAATACTATTTTAATCCTATTTCATTTAATTTCATTAATTTTCATATGATTAATATTAAATGAATTAATATTATCATGTGATATTAACAATGGTATATATTTTGTGCATACCCGTCATGTTAATTTTTGACATGTTTACAAAAAATTTGCTTTCTATTATTACTCATCGCCTCTGGGCACTGTAAATATGGTCAATGCAAAATTTGAAGCACAACGGCCATATTAATTCCAACCCAATCAGTGATGGTAAGTGATCCGAATGACAAATGACAAGTCATCTGTCATTTGAGTCATTTGGGCCATTTAGAAATCAATTTTAAATGCCATATTCAAATTAAATTTTTATTCTACAAATGAATTTATCAGCTGATTCATAAATTTTACATTTAAATAAATTTAAAAATTATACCTTCAGTTTTCAAGTAAATAAGATGATGAATGGAAATAGCCAACAGTTTTCTCATAAATGTGCATGGTAAATAAATCAGATATTCTACGCACATGACTTTCCTAGGTGGTGGGTAATTAATATTAAACTAATAATTCCCTCAATGCCCTCAGAGAAAATGGCACTATTAGAAACATTTCTAGAAATAATTGTATGAATGAAAGGGTATATCTTGAGATTGAGATGAGCTCTGAACAAATGAAAGATGCTGAAGAAAAAGGTCTTGAAAAAGTTTTTCAATTAACATATCCATTGGCAACATCAAACATGATGTGCTTCAGGGTTGGCAAATGTGTGGTCCATTGGTGGTCTATTGATGGTCTATTGGGTCATTAGTGTAACATTTTAACTATATTTAGTATTTTATTAATGGCAATGGACCAGCTCAAAGTCCATCAGTTCTCAATGGACCAGTCAATTTGCCAACCCTGATGTGCTTTGATCCTAATAATAAACTAGCCAAATATGATACTCGTGAAGAGATAATCAATAAGTTTTATCATGTAAGATTAAATTTTTATGTAAAAAGAAGAGTAAGTTATTATAAGTGTGTTTGTATATGTTGTTTTATTTAAATTTCAAATATTAAGATATCTAATATATTATTTATTGACTAATCTCTGATATATTTACTATAGATGTATTTAATTAAAAAATTAGATCAGGGAATTAATAAAATACAAAATAAGATAAGATTTATTCAAATGAAACTTAGAGAAATGATGAAGTTTGAAGGGTTAAGGAAATTGGAAATTGTCAAACTTTTTGAAAGGCACAAATTCCAAAAGATATATGATGATGATGATGAGATGCATTCACAATCTGACAACAATTACGAAACACTTAAAGAGACTGAAACCAATAAAAATATAAAAGCCCTACACAAAGTTTAGATACTTAAAATGCACTCAAAATATACATCATATACTTAAAATATACTTAAAATATACCAATGGAAGAGAACAAGAACATTTTAAGTGAGTTTTAAGTATGTTTTAAGTATATGAAATTATACTCAAAACACACTTAAAATATACTATATACTTAAAATATACTTAAAACATACTTTTGATGGTAACTAGCATACTTGAAATACACTTAAAAACATACTTAATTTGTTCATTATTACAAAAGGTATGTTTTAAGCACATTTTAAGCACCTTCAAGTAGACTTTAAGCATGTTTTAAATACATTTTAAGCACCCAAACTTTTTGTAGGGAAGGTTATGATTACCTTATGAAAATGTCATGTTGGTCATTTAGTAAAGAAGAAATAGATAAATATGAAAACAAAAGAAAGAATTTAATTGATGAATTAAAGATCATTGAAAGCATGGAAGCTCAAGATATTTGGATCAAGGATCTTGATGCTTTGGAAAAAGCATGGGACGAATTCCTAAATGCTGACAAAGAAAATATAATGTCTGCCAAGACTACCAAGGGAAAAATTAAAGAATAGCCAATGATGATATTGATCCATGTGAAACACAAAAAAAAGGAAATTAAGACATCATAACAAAATGCCGATAACTAATAAGGATGATGACTATGGTGATGACAATAAAAATGATTTGGTTGGTGATGAAGATAATGATTGTATTGATCTGGTTGACGACGATGATGATTATGTTGATTAAATTTTAATTTGTAAAATAAATTTATATTACACACACACACATATATATATGTATATTATATACACATATATGATTTTTTTTAGAAAATATAAGATTATAATGATTATAATTTATATAAAAATAAATTCTTCTACTAAATAGTTTTTAACTATTTTTTATTATTATAAATATTTTTTTATTTATTATTTATTATGTAAATATTTTCCCTCTTTATATTCTTCTCTCTCTATATTATTCTCAATTTATAATATATATGGTTGGATATTTTTATGATTTATTATTTTGTTAATATTAAAGTTGACGCTATTTTCTTTATTTGAGCTGTTTATATTAATTAACAAATGCTTCCTTTTTAGTCTATTTTGTCATTAAAGAAAATTTTTAGTTGATTTTTTTATCTTATCTTTGTTCAATTAATCGAACAAAATAACAGTTTTCATCCACCCCACTAAGTAAATGTTTGTCCTGATTCATTTTTTCAAAATTAATTTCTTGATTATAACATATTTACTTAAAAAAAAAAAAGGTCAGTGCTCAATCATCAAAAAGGACTCTTGAAATTATAGTTGGAGTGAACATTAGTATTGGTTTCAGGAATCTCATTGAAATAGACAGTATTAGATTTTTTTGTCCAAAGGTTTCTGTTTTTTGTTGGGTAATAATACACTTTCATCCTGCTTTCTTTTTCCAACATTTATTATTTTTCTTTCTTCTTTGTAAATTTCATAAGTAATTCTTTATTTTTTTAGATAAGCTTCCAGTGTCTGAGTATCATTTATTTTGAAAATATAAGGAGCAAATTCTCACCTTGTTCCTTTTTTAAAATACTTCTAATGGTGCTATAATTCTTGGGTTTCATGGTAGACCTAATGTAAATTAACTTCATATTAACTATTTTTATATATGGTAATTCTATATACCACTTAATATTAAGAGTAGAGGTTGGAATCGACTAAAATAGTCAACTAATTTAGTCAACTAGTCAAACGATATGTCACAGGAAGTGTAATTACATATATAAAATAGAAAATCCAACTTGTGTAACAAATCAGTTTTT